ATACATACATGCAAACATACTGGTCTCCCCTCTCACTGAGTTATTCACTATCCTTCTCCTAAGTTTAAACCGGCACTGGTCCTTAGCGTAAAATAATTTTTGGGGATATCTCGGCCCAGGGCCACCTATCGTGTAAGTTTTAAGTCCAAATATTTCTCTTGAGCTGGCTAAATTGTATTCTAATTTAGGAATATTGAGACCCTAGCGCCACGTAGCGAGCAAATTTTTTGGTAGAAATATTTATTTTCAAGGTACTGATACATGTTCCATATATGAACCAAATCGGTCCAGTCGTTTAGTAGTTTACTGACATTCAATGTACAGAAAACGGTATGAAATTGTGAAATCGTGACTTCTCAGCATTCTTCATTTTTCGGCAACAACAACAAAAAGTTTAAATTTTTTTTAATCGAAAAACCTTCCACACAGAAGGTCCAAAAATGTGCTTTTTACAGAATTGAAATCGGTTCAGCCGTTGTTCAGGCATCGCGGTCATACGGAAAACATTTCATTTTTATATATATAGATTAAAATATTTTTTACCATTATTATCGTAAACTAAATGATAGCAAGTTTTTATTCATATTGCCCTCCAAAACAACCCCCCTGGCGTTGAAATTAATCAGAAATGTGTATAGCAGGGATCACACGATTTGTGATTTGTACATTTGCACATTTGGCAGACACAGACTGGTGTTGTCTATAAATTTGTGTCAACAATGAGTTCAGTACAACAACAACTTTCCAAAAAAACACCCATGGTGAAATAAAAATAAGGTGATGTCAGTTAGGGGGTGTTTGTTGTTGTATCTCGGAAGAAAGTTCGAAAACGACCTATCTCAGAAAACTTTTCAAAAGCGCCCTATTTCAGAATTTGATTGGAAAACGCCCTATCTCAGAAAACTTTTCAAGAACACCCTATTTCAGAATTCGGTTCAAAAACGCCCTATCTCAAATATTTTCAATATATTTGCAGTTGAGGTATCAATATGTATATTTCTTCTTTAGTAGCACTTAAAGTAATACGATTACTTAGACAAAAAATTCAACCTTTGAAAGGATCCCACAAAACTTTACGGCTATAAAGATTGCTTACACTTTGTTGTGGTATCACTAGCTTTGTAAAAATATATCCACACTTTAGAATTTGGCGGTGTAATTGCTTAAAACATTTGACATTTCTGTTTAGTTGTGAATTATCCATTTAATATTTTTTGCAAAAATTGTGATTTGTGTGTATATTCAACAGCTTTTAATTTTGCGATTTTTTGGAGGTTTTCCGGACTTTGGCTACAAATTTAGGTAACCAATTTTAAGTACTTATGCCAAGTGGCAAATAAGGACTTATTATGTTTACCTTTCACAGATTTGTGAATTGTGTTTTTTATCTCAGCGAGAAGCTGCGATATAAGTGCGATTTTTGGCTGCACGTTCCAGGTGAGTTTATTCAATTAGACAGGTAGTTAATAAAATGGTCAGTAAAAGTGCGTTTCTTGTTAATAGGTTTTGGAAGTTGTGCCTGTTCACCTACTAGAGGCTGCAATACGAGTGCTTTACAAATAAAATTACGAAAATCCTTTTATAATACCTAAATAATCGGTCTTTTAAAAAGAAGAAAAAACTTACTAAGAGTAGTTGTGTTTGTTTAAAAAATTATTCAGTAACTCGCCCGCAACTCCCCAGTAACTTAATTTCTGCGAATTCGCTCTCAAAGAAAAAATATCCAAAAAAGTACGTGAACGCAAATCCAGTAATAATTATCAATCCATTAATTAATTTATTAATTGATGTTCCTACCGTATTCTTTTTAATTCGTCACACTTTTTCTTGATATACCGATGACCCATGTCGTTCCAACGGACAGAAACGCTCCTGCTCTGAAAGTATTAGGGACACGAATTTCGATACGATACGATACCATATCGATACTTTTGCCATTCGATACCGATATTTTCTACTCGATAATTTTAAAACGATATTTTTTGGAATCGAGTACCAGAACCCTAGTATCGTATCGAATGTAATAAACTCACTGTTCAATATTATGGCATAGTCTCTTACTTTCCTACTAACTTTTGCAGCCCTGTAATGTTGTACGGAACATTGAATTGTTTTACGTTTTCCAACCCTGTAATGACAACTGAGAATTGTATTTTTTGTAATAAACTCTCTTGAATTCTGAATTTTTAAAGAAAAGACACGCGGTTTGTTCACTTAACCTTAATTTTATAACAAGGTTCGTATTACTATTAATGTCTTCGCAACACTCACATTACAAGGATAATGTTATTAACAATTCTTCCCGACATAAATTGGGCTCTTAGGAGCAGAAATGTGTAATATAGTTAGGATTGCATGTGGTGGAATTTGAACCCGCGACCTCGGTATTTTAAAACAACACCTCAATCTTTACGTGTTGTTACACAATATGTTAGTGTTTGACCGAGATTCT